TGGAAAAGCTTTATAGCATTGCAATAGGCAATGCTTTCTTGGATATAATACCAAAAGCACAGGCAACAAAATCAAAAATAGACAAATGTATCTACATCAAACTTAAAAACTACTGCACAGCAAAAGAAACAATCAACACAGTCAAAAGGCAACCTACAGAATGGAAGAAAATATTTGCAAACAATGTAACAAACAAGGGATTACTTTCCAGAATATATAAAGAACTCCTACAATTCAATAACAAAAATAAACAAATAGCCAGATTTAAAAATGGGCAAAGGACTTGAATAGAGATTTCTTAAAAGAAAGTGTTCAAGTGGCAAACAAGCATATGAAAAGATCTTCAATGTCACTAATCACAAAAAAATGTAAATCAAAATCACAATGAGATATCATCTCCTACCCATTAGGATGGCTATTATAAAAACAACAAAAGAAAAATATCAAGTTTTGGAAAGGATATATAGAAATTGGAATTTGGAAATTTTGTGCACTATAGGTGGAACTATAAAATGATGCAGCCTCTGTGGAAAACAGATAGAGGTTCTTCAAAAAATAAAAAGTAGAACTACCATATGATTCAGCAATTCTACTTCTAGATATATATATCCAAAAGAATTGAAAACAGGATCTTGAAGAGATATTTGCACACAGGCGTTCACTACAACATTATGCACAATAGTCAAGGTGTGAAAGCCTCAAACTTCCACCAGTGAGTGGATGAATAAAGAAAACATGGTATATATATACAATGGGATATTATTCAGCCTTTAAAAAGAAGGAAATCTTGCCATATAGTATAATGTGAATGAACTTTGAGGACATTATGCTAAGTGAAATAAGCCAATGAAAAAAAGACATATATTGGACAATTCCACTTATATGAGGAATCTAAAGTAATCAAATTCATAGAAAGAGAAAGTGGAATGGTTATTGTTAGAGGCTTAGGGGCAGGGAAGTGGGAAGTTGTTCAATTATTTAAAAAGTTTCAGTCTTGCAAAATAAAATAGTTCTAGAGATCTGTGGTATAACAATGTATACCATACTATACAGTTAAGAATTGTCAAAAGGGTAAACTTTATGTACTTTTTACTACAATATTTAAAATAAAAAACTACTATATATCATGTCAGCACTGGGGTCAGAACCTAAATAAAACAAGAGCAAGATAGGGAAGGACATGGGGGTAGAAAGTATTGGCAAATAGGAGTATAGAAGCCATTTCAAATAGAGAGAACAGCTTGAGCAAAGGGGTCAAGTAAGAGACACACTGATATATTGAGAGGACTGTACACAGTTTATTGTTGGTGGAGTGTAAACTAAAAAATCAAGTCTTGGTGGGCTGTGTAGGCTTTTTAAAGGCATGTGACCTTTATTCCATACATAACTGGGAACCATTGATTTATTTTAAGAAGGGAGTGACATACTCAGATTTTATGTTGTAGAGAGATTACATAGGAAATGGATGTGAGGAGAATAAAGTTTAAAGCAGGAAGACCAGTTTGGAGAATGTTTCAATATCTGGATGAGAAATAAGAGAACTGGTCTAGATGTAGGATGGATAAATAGGATGGAAAGATTAAGAAATATTTAGGAGACAAATTTAGCAGACTTGATAATTCAGGTATGAAGCTAAGCTAAAAGAGAAGTTGAAAGCACATTTTTTTTTTTGTTTGTTTTGTTTTGCTTGAGTAATAGGATGGACAGTGGTATGAAAAATTCAGATATAGGAACACTGAAAGAGAATAAATAGGTTTGAGGTAAAAATATTGAGTTTTCTTTTAGATGTGTTACAGATAAAATGCAATAGATACATAAGTATTGGATATATGGGCCTGGAGCTCAAGTGAAGATCTGGTTAGGAGAAAATAAATTTTAGAATCAACCACATATAAATGGCATTTAAAATTTAAAAAGATGATCAAATTCCAGGATAAGGGTAGAGCAATAAAAACAGTGGTCCAAGAGCAAAAACTTGAAGAATATCAACACTAAGGAGAAGGAAGAGGTAGAGCACTTTCAGAGGAGAATAGAGAAACTATAGAGATTTAGGAGAAAAGCCAGAAGAATATAGTGTCATGAAGTCAAACAATAAAAAATGCCAAAAAGGAAATAATGATGTGTCCTATTCTAGAGTTCTTATATGATAAGAACTGAAAATGGTTCTATATCTGGCAATTTAGCAATTAAGAGATCTTTGGTAACCTAAATAAGAGCAGATTAAGTAGAGAAGTAGGAATGATGGCCAAAAATAAGTGGACTGAGGACCAAATGAAAGATGAATCAGTATTCATATACCTTTTTAGTGATTTCCAAGGAGTAAGGGAAGGAGAAAATATGACACCAAGGAAGGGACATATCTGAAGATTCAGGGGACTTTTTCAAGCATCATGTTACATTTTTCCCTTAGAGATTATGATCTAACAGACTTAGCCAACCCCCATTCACCCTGAACTCCATTGCTATAGTGAGCATCTATATAGCTATCATGTCCCTTGGGTATAGGGGACAGAATGAAAGCCTGAAAATCTCTGATAAATCAAGTTCTTAACCTCTTTTAGATCATAGGCCCCCTTGAAACTTTGATATAATGACACTCAAAACTTTCAATACAATTTCAGGAAGTTTAAGGTCCCTGCCCTCACACACTGTCAAGAGAATCTTCTCTTGATAATGTTCCAAGATCAGGCAAATAATAATAGTTATTATAAGAGTACACTAACAATAAGCATTTATATTTGATACTTTATAATGTACAACACACTTTAACATTTTTCTTTTATTTGATCCTCCCTAAAAATCAACATTTTATGAATAAGGACAATGATGTTATAGTAACAGACAAAGAATCTGATTCTGGGTCCCTTAAAACAGACACTTGAGAACATGTCACAGTGTTTAGTAAGCTATGAGTGCTATTCAGATGTGAGCACTTATCACCACTGGGACTCACATATGTACAGCTTTTCTAATGGTTTCATAAACTTGGAGAAGCAAAATGATTGCCCAGGCTCAGACAGCTAGTGAGTGGCAGAGTTCTTGTCTCCTCATGCTTTATCATATGATCTTTGTCTTCTTCCTGGGCACAACTACTCAGAGAGGAGCACTATATGCTGGTTTTGTCTTGGCTAGTTCTTCTGTGCTCTGAGCATCAAGATGTTGAGACATAAACAATAGTCCAGATGAACTCCATCTTTCCTGGATTTCCTATATTCTCATAAAACTAGGGGTTTGATTGAATAGCTTTCCCCAAATTCACTTCTTGCTTCTCTACATGGCTTTAGTTTATTGCCAAAGTGATTCCTTGGAAATCCCATATTTCCTCTTTCAAGGACACAGAGAAGGGCAGCATAGAATCTTTCCTTTGTAAATAAGGCTGTTCCTCTTCTTCATTGTTCCCATGTCCCTTAAACAAACACCATCCATCTACATTTAGGTCCTATTGATCTCATTTAACTGTCTTTTTCCTCCTAGACGCTGGAAAGCACTTTGACTTTATAGAAACTGAGTGCATGGCTACATCCTCTGATTGCATGTGTAAACAAACTACAGTTATGTGAAATATAAATATTCCATCCTACCCCTGGCCCTGGAGTCATTCTCACTAGAAAAGTGGGATGGGGTGGAAGTGGGTGAGGTTTCTGTTTAAAAGGGTATTGGACTGAGAGTCAAAAGACCCCAGCACAAGCCCCAATTCTAGCATGTCCTAGTAATGTGATCTTGGATGAGTCAAAGTGACTTCATAGGCTCAAGTCCTTTCTCTGAAAAGCAAAGGGGTTATAATCAGTGGCCCTAATGGCCCTTTTATGTCTCCTTTCACAAATTATGTTTTATGTTGATTATATAACTATTGAACTATATTAACACACTGTAAACTTATAAATAAATGAAAATTTAAAAAATATCTTATAAATGAAAAAGACCCTCACAGATGTACCCATTGCTCTGATGACATTATAACTGAATTTCTGGGTCTCCACAAACCTCCAGGAACCTATGGCTTTCACATTAGGAGACAATCCCAGTTTTTTCCAATCTTTGCTCTGATTTAGTCATTGAGCACAGCTATTAGGAAAATGAAGTTAATTTGGCAGAATGAGATCATGTGAGCATTAAACAATGAGAGTTGGAAGATTTAGAAAATAAGTTTTGGCATTAGCCAAAGAAAGGAGAAACAGGCCAAGTTTAGAAAACTGTTCAAACTCAAGTACTTAGGTTGAGAGAAATGGGCAAAGACAGGTTGAGGACCATTAGGAAAAGGGGCACCTGCATGTGTTTGGGGGAAGGAGAAAGTTTTGGAATTCATAATCAGCAGTTCTTTCTTTTCTTTTCTCTTTCAGCATATTATCAGAGTACAAATGTTTAGGTTACAAATATTGCCTTTGCTCCACCCAAGTCAGAGCTTCAAGTGTGTCCATTCCCCAGACAGTGCGCACCACGCTCATTATGTGTGTATATACGCATCCCCTTCTTCCCCCATCACCTACCCAATACCCGATTAATGTTACTACTATATGTGCACATAAATGTTGATCAGTTAATACCAATTTCATGATAAGTGCATGTGGTGCTTGTTTTTCCATTCTTATGATATTTCACTTAGTAGAATGGGCTCCAGCTCTATCCAGGATGATACAAGAGGTGCTAGATCACCATTGTTTTTTGTGGCTGAGTAGAACTCCATGGTATACATATACCACATTTTATTAATCCACTCATGGATTGATGGGCACTTGAGTTGTTTCCACATCTTTGCAATTGTGAATTGCGCTGCTATAACCATTATACTGCAGATGTCTTTTTATAGAATGTCTTTTTTTTCCTTAGGGTAGATTATAATTAATGATAGTAATAATAATAACAGCTATAATTTTCAGAACATTTAGCTTGCCTCATGGTTTCTTCTGACTGATTTAATATATATATATATATAATTTCATTTAATTCTTACCACTATTATATGCCTATGAATTAATTTTGATGTTAATTCTGTTTTTTAGGAAACTGAGACTAGAAGAGGTTGGGTATCTTCCCTTAAATTACTCAGGTAGGAAGGGGTAGAGCCAGGTTGCAAAACTGATCTTTCTGTTTACAAATCGCTCTGATTTTAAAGTCCATACTTTCCCCTCGGGCTATACTGTCTCACTAATATTTATTTGTTGTCAATAATTCCAATGATTTTAATTCTTATAGGTGATGTTGCCTCCTCTGTCTGCCTTGGATGACATTTTAGGTCCTACCCCATCAGTAGTACTCCAAACCCAGTTTCTCTAGTTTTGTAGGCAATCCTCAGACAATAGGGACAGAAGAGCTAGACATCCAAGGAATGCAAGACTGATTTTATAGAAGAAGGAGTTTATCACAGATGCCCCTTTGGTGGACACACAATCCTTGTCTTAGAGAAGATGTATTCTTAGTTTGCTGCGTAACGTGGGGAGAATCTAAGCATTTGACATCACTCCAAGAAATTGTTCTCTTCTTACCTACTATAGTGCGTTAGTCCCACCTGGTTGCTGGTTTTATGAATAATGAGAACATTTACTTAAAGCTATAAAAATAAAATTGATTTAAGTCATTATTCCAAAGAAACCTAGAATAGGGCCATGTTTAATTTGGCTTCCAAGAAGAGAAACTTAATCATGATATTTCAGAACCCAGCTCTTGGTGCACCCACACACGTACACAGGCACACACATGTGCAAACACACCCAGCCCTACCAACCTCAAAGCTATTTTCTAAGAAAACCAGATGAAGAGACTCTTCATCACCACAAGCAGAGAGTAAGTCAGTGCTGGGTAGAACAAGTAAGCAGGTAGTCCAACTGAGAGGAATGCCAGGGCATGCAAAAAAGAAAAACAGCAAGCTCAGCCATGGTGACCTTGGAAAGTTTCCTGGGACCTCAGAAACCACTTAATCCAGCACTAACACATATATTCCAGTAATTTATAATGTCCCATCCATTTAATATTTTAAATCAACTCAAATAATTATCTCTGACCTGGTTAAGAAATGAAATATATATCATCTCAAACTTAGATCATTTCATGTCAATGAGATTGAAATGAAACTTAGATCATGTTTTTAAGTAAAGGAGCAAAGGAACCATACAGATGAAGTACTAATATTTTCTATCCAACTTTAACTTTCTTCCTAAACTATATTTTGGATAAAAGAAATAATTTCTATTTCTAGTTCTTGTCACTCTCTGATGGATATCTGTTAACGCCAAGTTTACAGTGAGAGACCCAGATGTAGATACCACGGTACAGTGTGGGAAAGGTAGAGAAGGATCTTCTTCTTCCTCGTTCTTGATATTGTGTTTCTATTGCTATGGCAAAGATATTTAGTAGTGGAAGTATTAATAAAGAACATTGTTTTATGGGAAGAGCAATGCTTAGCCCAGTCTGGTAATGAGTAATTCAAAGAGGTAAGACTACCGCTAGTGCAGGGAATAATCAGGGAAAAGCAGGTTGCCCAGTGAGGATTGTGAGTCAAGAACTGATTAGAAATGATGCAAAAAAGTGGTCAGCTGAGAACAGTTTATGAAGCTCTGACTACCATGTCTACAAATAGGAAATTTAATCCTACAGGTGAAAAAAATCCTACTTGGGTTTTCAGAAAGGGATTGACATGATCTGACTTGGGTTTTGGATAGCACATACTATTATAACAGTAGATGGAGATTGGATGTGAAGGAGAGAAATTATTAATAAAGGTAGGGAAACAAATAAGAAGACTGGTAAAATAATCAATACAAGAGGATAAAATGCATAGAAGTACTTGGTATTCCCAGCCTATCACTACTAAACTCCTCAGGACCTAGAATATAGGATGTACTCAATAAATAGATGTTAAGCAAAAAGGGACTTCCATTTATGCCCAAGAGGAAAAGTGTAAGAGTGCCAGATTGGTTAAGGGGTCAGATTCGTGGCTCTCATCCATTGATTTCTCTCTTTCAGGTCATTATCCAGACTGTGCTGGTTAGCTGCCTAGATTGAGTTACTTTTCATTGAATATTTATCATGTTCTGCCGCCATGCTTAGCATCACTATACACAAATAATCTCATTTCATCTCTTTTTAAAAGACCCTAAGAATTAGGTTTTGTTATTCCTCGATTTACTTGTGAACAAAGGGAGTTATCTGCCTCAGGTCATGCAGCAACTAAGTAGCACCAGGATTTGATCAAGAGATTGATTCTAAAGGCTGTGAATGATCCACTACATTCAAAGGAACAAGCTTCATGTGGCTAATTAAACAAGAGATTTTATGTATCCCATTTCCATACACATTCCAAAGAGGCTTCTATTTCACAGCCTCCACAAACAATAGCAGCGTACTATGAATATTGTGCAAATGTGTTTTTAATAAACTGCCTCAAAATTAGCTGTATGCCTTAAGCTTTTGTATTCTCAGGAGACCTTATTAGATAAAGATAAGATATTTTAGAAAATCCCCCATCCCTAACTACTTGAAGACACATTAATCATTTAAAATCCCCCCCAAAACTGTGGGCAAAATGTCATATTGTTGACTCTAGCTTAATGAATATAAATGTTGCCCCTTACCTTATGAAATATCTTTGGATGAACTTCCACAAATACCGAACATAAGTAGGCCCTGAAAATACTCTAAACAAATAGACTCTACCCAGCCCTGCTGGGAGTCCTATGTGGTTATAATTCTACCCTTTCCTTTGCTCCTGCTTTCTCTTTGTAAAGTTATTTGAAAGTGTATTGTTTTTCCACCCTGGAGATGCTATTTTATACTCCTCTGTTTTAAATAGGATATTGAATGTAGCAACATGATATTCTTTTCCTTCCAGATGTTGCCTTTTCCTCCTTAGAAAATGAATTTTCTACCTATTATTTCAAAGTGCCCTGCCAAATGGGTGTCTTGCTTAGTGCCCAACTACATCCTCAGGATGTAGCCAAGATATCTCTCAGTGACAAAAACCAAACAGCCGTCCGTCAAATCCATGTAATCGCTTTTAAAATGCCCATTGCTTTTATTAGTAGCACTTCCACTGCTTTCATAAAATGGTCATACTCTCTTTTAAATCTCTCTCTTATTTTCCATTTATGTGTTGAAAAATATTTCGATTATAGAAATATGCAGTTGAGTTAGAAAGACAGTTCTCATTCAACCACAACCAACCCACAATTTGAGAAGAGAAAAAATAGACTAAAATTTGCTTTTGACAAAAGCCACAAGAAATAAAAAGAGTGTGAGGGAAACACTAGTTTTGTCAACAAGATCATGACAACTCTGTACTTATGGTTCTTTACCTGTAAAATAGATACAATAATCTTCAGGGTTTTTATGAAAATTAAATATTATATGTGAAATACCTGGCACAGTTCTTAGTAACTAGAAAAACTCAATAAATAGTAGTAATGTAGTAGTAGTGGTTATTATTACAAGGCAAACATTAAACCTTCATTCTTTATTCATCAAATATTTATTGACCATGTATGACACAGTACTCCCCATGGAAGAAGATCTCAATGTTTTGAAGGAGACAGACAAGTACACATTTAACTACTGTTTAACAATCATTTATTAAGCTCCTACTTTTTTCTTGGAAGCAAAGGAATAAATAAGACTCCCCATTCAGAGTGTAAGACTAGTTAGGGAGACAAACACATAAACATATTTAGTACAGTATATGGAATTATGATAATAGGAGTATGTCCAGGGTGCCTGGTCCTTGTTATAGCTCATAATTTATTTGGGAAAGAACTTCAGTGATGCTGAAGAGTGGAAGGAGAAAGGGATCAAGAAGAAAAAGGCTGGGAAATAACCCACTAACCTATCTACCATCATTAGATGCACAAAGCCTGAATGTGGGGCCAGGGTGATTGGGGCAGAATTTTTTTTTAATGACCTGATGTGGTAAACAAGTGGCATGGATGTAGGATCCAAGTAGCAGGTAAGGTTAAAATCAAGTAGGTGGTAAAGATCTTGGGAGATTAGTTCATTCAGAGTAGTACTGGGAGAGAATTTTGCCTATCCAGGAAGTGGGACTGATTGAAGCAGATGTGTCAGAACTCTAGCCAAAGAAGTTGAGATCCAGACTTGAGCACCAGTCTTAGCCAATCCTAGTAGGAAACTAAAGTGCTGGGTAATAAAACTGATACAGAAGTCCAGTTGCTTATGGTACAAAAAGGCCCTCCATGACCATGCAAATTACTCAGACTTCCCAACCTACCCTCACACCCAGACACACTGGGCACTATGTTTGTAGCAGAAAACTAATTTTAGACATCATCTGCTGGTAGTCTGGGACAGCAGACTAATAAGCCTCCTGTTTAGAAAAAAAGACTGGCATGGGGTATTGACCAGAAAGCCTTGAGAATGAAGGAGTAGGTAAGGGATAAAGGCAGTATCAATTATACCTGTTGTTGAAACAGTTTTTTAAGTTGGGAAAAGCAATTCTTAGCTTCTTTCCCATCAAGACAAAGGGAAATCATTTGTTCCCATTTGAAGTTATCAGCAGAGGCACCATCATTCAATGACATTTTATAATTTGAGTGTCACATAACCACTGTAATATAAACTTGAAAAAGTAAAAGACCTCACTTCATTTTTCTCCACTGAACTTCTCTCATCTTCTACAAATACGTAGATTCATGGCTTTCTTTTTTTTTTTGTCTCTCAGGAGAGTCACAAGGAACCTGTCAGAAATATTCCAATATATGCAAATCCTAACTAGGCAGACAAAAATAATGTTTGTTCTTTTACTCATGTGCTCCATGGGAGTTTTGCCTTGTTTGCATGATTGATCAGTTTGCATGTTACTTTTCAAAATCATTTTTCAAATGGAAATACAAAGCTAAAAACAAGAAGAGGAGTATCTAGGGCTGGGCTGGGTGGAAGGGCACCAAATCCAGAGAATAAGTCCTTTCAATAGGTAATGAATATTTCTCCTGCACATATCTGATGGTTACTATCAGGGGCAGTTTCTGCAGCCTCCATTATATAGGTAACAGGTGATGAAATTCCCCAAAGATGAACTGTAAGATGAATAGTCTTTTTGTTTTTTTGCTGGGGATAAAGAGCAGTAGTCCTATGTCTAAATATATTGAAGAGTATGTATACTGCCAAAGGGCTGACAGGATCGCTAAACAGGGCTCATTTCCCTTTGTTCCCAGGAGTTCATAGTGTTTCTGGCCCTGCCTGCTGGGCAGTTTCAGCTCTCTTCCTCAGGTGCCCTCTCCATATCTAAATTTAAAGAAAAATCTCCATCACTGTGGATTCTTCAGAGCGGCCACCCTCTTTGCCCAGGTCTAGACACAATATGTTCCTTGTCTGTGAACCATAGGGAAGACATTCCACTGCCATCAACACTATATTCAGAAACAATTACCCCCAAATAGTACCTTCTGTGGGTTTCATCTCCTCTTCCCTATATTCACCTCTACTGCCTTTTTCAAGCTTCATCTAACTTGCTTTTCTGTGGCCCTTATCTTTTCTCCTCCCTGCTTCCCCCAACCTCTTCCTCTTCCTATCCCAAACTTATGCACTACTCCATTGACAGTGACAGAATATATTATTGTCCCTCATTTATTGTGAGGAAACCAAGGTTCAGGGAGCTTACATAATTTTCACAAGGCCATATGGCTAGTAGATGCACTAAAAAGCATCTGAGATATATTGACATGGCAAACATATGTAGGTATATATTGACTTCTAATTACTTTGCCAATATCAGTTCTGGGTTCTATAGGCATAAAGATGAATAAGATATCTGACCATATCTAAGTTTGAGAAGCCCACAGTGGAGGAAACACTCATACTAACACCAATTTACAATATAATGTGGAAAGTTCAAAGCTAAGTGCCAAAGTCAGAGTTTCAACTTAAGTCTCTCTCAGTTAAACCACTGGTTGCCAATCTTTGCAAAGATAAAGGCCTTTTAAGTGTCAAAACTTTCCTCAAACTTTCTCATGATAGCATGTGTATTTTTAGTCAATTAAGAACAATTCAATGGCAAAAATCTACAATTAAGTTAGTAAAGGTTCCAAATGAATTTATATTTTATTAATGAAAACAGCATCAGTGTCCATTTGAATTCACATCTTTGTGAGATATACTATTAGTTCAGTGAGTTTGGGATCAACTTGCAATAACCTCGTGGCTCCCCCATGGTCCTTAGCCCATTCACTGGGAATGGGTGCCAACCTTGTAACCTCTTCTCACACAATATACCTCCTAACAGGGTTCCTCACTGTTGACAAGTAGAGAGCTAGAGTGCAACATGTGTATGTGGAGGTCAAATAAGCATGTGCCTTGCTCAGACCTTGGAGAGTGATAAGAAACTCTCAATCTCTCCTCTAACCCATACATAGGAAGTGAAGAAGTAGAGAGGGAGAGAACTACTATCTCTTAGCAGCTAATCTATGCTAGTTACATAATTTATAATCTAAAAGTTGTATCTACTCTGATATTTAAAGCCTTTCAACAGAATCTTGTGCCTCTTCCTTAAATCTAAATTCCTACCTTTACATTCCTCCACCCCATTTACCTTTTTCTTTCTTATTATTCCCAAACATACTTTGCTTTTTATATTTCAATGGCTTTTCTAAAGCTATCATTATGCCTAAAAAATGCATGACTAGTTTCCATTTTTTATCCTACTCAATTCTCTCATACTTCAAGATCTAACTCTTTTCTGAAGCTATCCCAACCTATGTAAATATTCTCTCTCTTCTTTATGCTCCCAACACACCTGATTTGCCCTTCCCTTATAGCACTGAGCACATTATATCATATTCATTTATTTACATATGTGTCTTCATCACTGGCCTATGCTCTTTTGGTGACTGAGACTTTTGGTGGTTGTGACTGCATCTTATTTTTCTTGAACCACCAGTGTGTAGGATTGTGCATGAAACATAATATACACTCAATAAAAGATGGTTGAACGAACAAATGAATAAATGCATGTCTTAATAATCTTTGGCTGCATGTGTCAACATTGGCATACTCTTCTGAAACTGTCTGCTTCAAGTATGGTGAATAAATTATGGTTTTTGTCCTATCATTTGTCACTTTCTAACCTACTCATCTGTTGAGATGATTATAAAAGCCTAGGATATTAGTGTTAGAAGAGATCTTAAAAGCCATCTAATCCAATCTTCCCACTAGGGCAAAATTCCCTTTTTGTGATCTAGAGCCATCCATTCTCTGATTGAACATCTCTAATGATAAGGAGTTGATTGCCTTATAAGGGAATTCAATCCTTCCTTAATAATATTATTAGGAATGTCAAACTATATCTATTAATTCTTACCGCTCTGTTCCCACCTTTGAAACTCCCCTATTTACATGTATTTTCTCCTTCATCACATGCCAGCTATCTGATGAAAGATCAAAAAATTAAGCAGTTGCTTGTGCAAGGCATTCTGGGACTTTAGAAACTCACACTGGTTTCTGGTATCAAGCTAAGGAGTCAGATTTAGCTGTAGAGGCAGCTGGCAGGGACAGTCAGGTTTAGTGACCAAGAGATTAGCAAATGTAGTTAACCCTGGAAGGCACCAGGAATCAAGATGATGAAAAACAACATAGATAGCCTAGGTAACACTCTAAGCTGAGGACAAGGGAGATAGCATAGGCAAAAACATGGTGTCAAAAAAAAGGAGTTCAGCAATAGAAGGATAAAGTGTCAAAGAAGACACAGAGTGGTGAATGCAAGACTTGACAAGCAGTCAGAAAACTGAATGTCAGAGAGGTG